GAACACACACAGAAATTTCAATTCATAATAATCTGCTGTTATTCATCGTAGTTCACCAATAAATAATAAGAGAAAGAGTCCTATTCTAGTATCTTGCCTAACATATTGCAAAATATTTATTTCAATTACCTAAAATAAAAGGAAATAACATAATAAGCAAATTAAATAATAAATGACTTAAACTCGAAGCCTGTCGTATTTATTTAAAAAGGCGATCGCGGTCTCGTCTCCATCATAAGGTCCAATGTTTGAATTTTATTCTTTCTGCATATAAGATTTACAGTTTAGGTTATTCTCAATTTAAGTCTCACATTTATATTTGACTTCTCAATGGAAGGAAAATAACTTTATTTTATGATATAATTATGTGAACAAAGATATTATTTTTTTAAATTCTGATTTTACACACTTATAATAAAAAAGTAGAAATATATTTAGGAAAATTAGCTTAATAAAAAATGAGTCTATTTAAATACTGTTAGCAAAAATTTAATAAAGATTATTTTCAAAAATAGATAAGTGAATTTAAAAAAAATGTAATTTATGTTTTATTAATAATCTAAGTAGGTAATAAAATTAATAAATAATATTTAAATACAATTTTCAATTTTTTTATTGCTTTACTTTTAAACTTATTATTTTTATTACATATTTTATTTATTTATTACCTTTTTATTACATATTGTGAATATTAATCAAAATTAATTTAGATTATAGATTTTTAAATTCTCTAATCACTTTTTTGAAAATAAAATTTATTAATTTTTTGTGTAAATATAGCATATATATATTAAAAATTTATTCAGGAATATTCCTGAATTTAATTTGGCTCAGCTCGTTTATCAACTCATAAAGAATCAAACAATATGATTTTTTTTTTTAATCCCTAAAATCTTGCTTTAGCTCGGTTATAACTAATAGACGAGTATATAGACTTAAATAAATAAAAAACTTAAGCTCGACTTTGACTTGATTCGTTTAATCGTGTATCCACGTCATAATCTAAAAATGTCCACTCTACATGTGCGCAATATCTTTTCCCAAATTTTCTTTATACTTGTGTACATGTTAGGATAATATAACCTACCCCATCATTAATCATATAATAATTTTTTTTTTTGGTACACGGACCTTTCGGTTTCCGAATTTACAGGGGAACCAACTAATTCGGAATTGAGCCGGATAGGACCACAAGGGCGGCAAAACTCTCATCCAAGCGCTCCCAGGGTAGGACACTGCTGCATTCTCAGGGCTCGAACACGAGACCACTAGTTAAGTTGGAAGAGACCATCTCATCCAAACGCTCTTGGATATTAATCATATAATAATTCAATATATAGGAAAAAAAAAAAACCCAATTTAACAGATGTGCTCGAACATGGGCGCCACCACCCCCATATAACTTTGACACTTTCAATAAACTCCTAAATTCCACCTACCTTTTGGCCCCCCTTTCTTATAAATATTATTATTATTACATCCTCACTAATTAAACATTAGCAGATTAGCTACCTAAGTTACCCCAACTCATGTCCTAAAAATGACAATTATCCCCTGCTACGCCATCACTCTCATTCTCCTCCTCCTCCTGCCGGCTGCAACCGCCGCCTACCGGCAGCGGAACGAAATCCAACAGTTCACGGCCGTCCAGAACGCGGCCCGGGCCGCCCTTGGGCTCCGCCCACTCGTGTGGGACCCAAAGATCGCGCGTTACGCGGCCCGTTACGCGGGCCTGAGACGGGCCAACTGCGCCCTCGTGCACTCAAACGGGCCGTACGGCGAGAACATCTTCTGGGGCAGCGGTGATGGGTGGACGCCGGTCCAGGCTGCCGCCGCGTGGGTTTCTGAGCGGCACGGCTACAGGTACCGCTCGAACTCGTGCGCCAACGGGGAGGAGTGCGGGCATTACACGCAGATAGTGTGGCGGGCCACGACCCGGGTCGGGTGCGCCCGGGCCGTGTGTTATGGAAGAAAAGGTGTTTTCATGATTTGTAACTACGACCCGCCCGGGAATTACATAGGGGAGAGGCCATACTGAGTTTTATTATTATTATTATATATATATGCATGGAATTGATTTTTATTTTTTTAATAAAATTTGATTTAATTTGTGGATCCAATCAATGTTATGGGATTAAGTACGAATTCACAATTGTTAGTGGCAAATTCTTGTTGATTTGAGGAGGTATATTTGATTAATGTACTTTCTTCCCGTAAAGGAACAAAAAAGTTTTGTTCTGCATATTGCATGGTTTTGCACTTAAATGATTAACGACGCGAGCCTTAACTAGCCAAAATTGAACGTTAACAAGCCAAAAAATAAAAAAGATTAAAAAAAAATTATCTTTTGGAGATTTATCGAGCACAGCTCTGAACCAGTTTTGAATATGCTCGAGCTCAACTCGTTTATCGAACGATCTGAGTTCACGAGTGACTCGTTTAATTTAATAGCTCTATGAGTGACTAAGACAGGACGAGTGTACATAATAAAATTTTGTATAAATTAGGCCATGTTTAGACTAGAGTATTAAGGGGAGCTATTTATCGTTAGGATTCGCCGTGTATCATAATGTATATGGTTATTGTCACTAAATACTAATTATCACTAACTTGCAAAATTAATTATCGATTTAAATTTTAAGCTCTTAAACAATATAAGTGTGTTGTTTGTAAGTGGATAACAACTTCGATTGGGCCCTGCGCCAATTGCCACAAATTTGCTGTGATAAAAGAGCAGCCCAAATCTGCCAACTTGAAAACTTTTGAACTGTCGGAGATACATTTTGCTTGCATGTAGCCCACTTACAAAACAATTTACCTTTCCTTTTTGCTTATCTACTTAACTAACAGTGAAAGCTGTAGTAAAATAGAGTATTTGTTAATTGTCATCACCTTTGTTTAATTTTCGGGTGATTTTGAAGTACATTTGTAAATAGGTAAAAATGAACTATTTGCATTCGAAGCCAAACTCATAGTAACATCATGTCGATTCGTGCCAGAGTTCGAGTTAATATGTGCTCGTTTTTTTGTGTGATCGGATTTTTTCGTATCGAGTTTGTGTCGTGTCATCATGATAGTTCAAGGATTTCATCACTATACTAAAATAGTAGAATGAAAATACAATAATTCAGAAAAAAGTACTGTTACTTCCTGAGAAGGTTTGGTTTTCTTTTATTTATAGAAAAAGATTTTTGTTTTTCACTAGAGTACAAGAAAACTGGGGGTTGAATATGGAAAGTCAGTTCCGTAGTTGAAAGGTAGCTGGTTTAAATACTGTAATAAATTGTATGCATACGCAAGCTTGTTTAGTTGAGCTGATTCTGTTTAGTTTAGTTCGATTCGTCAAGGCTCGAGTGTGAATGAACTAGTCGTACTCAATCTAGTTTAGTTGAAGCCCAAAGCTATGAATTTTTATTTATTTTTCTATCTTTCGACTTGTTAATATTAATAAATGATACTGATCTTTGTTCATCTTGGTAAAGGCTCGAATCACGCTTGAGTATAAAAAAACCAAGTTCAGTTTGACTCGTTTATATACAAAAGATAATTGAGATATGATATAGAGTTCTTGAATATTTGGTTTTGCCGGCGGAGAAATTGGAAAAAGGGTTTACTACAAGAAAACACTTCAATTCCAACGAAAAATTCCAACGGCAAAAATTTCCGTTGGAAATTTCAATGAATATTCCAACAAACTTAATTTTATGTTGGAATAAGTGTTGGATAGTTGAGGAATTCCAACGGATTTTTTCCGTTGGAATGGTTGTAGGAATTTATTTCCATAGGATTTTTCGTTGGATTTTAGCTATTCCAACGATCGTTTTTCCCACGAATTTTTATACGTAGGAATATCCGTTGGAATAGCTATTCCAACGGAAATTATAAAGAATTCCAACGGAAAATTTCCGTTGGAATGTAAGAGTTTTTTTATAGTGGTTTGGGATAGAAGAATGGAATATTTTTTTATGTCATAGGAATATATATGAGTTTAAAATTCATAATTTAAGTTTTATGTAATATAAAAATTAGTAAAATATGAATATTATAAAAATATTAATAAATAAATAATATTTCAGTAGTTATTGATTTTTTGTTTTTATATTTAAAATTGAATTGATAAGTTTGAGAATAAGAAATAAAATACCATGACAAATACATTTTCAAATAATATTTTGTAATCAATCACAATATCAATAAAAAAAATTGTTGGAGAAAGACAAAAATAAAATTCTTTTATATCTCATCCATCACCTTAATAAATAGCCCACTATCTTAGGGAGATGCTACAATACGGAACCATTCCGTCGGGTTTGTAAGTATTAGATGATCATGTAACTGGCGGGGATGATTGATCTAACGGTTACAAATCACGACCGAATGGTTACGTAACGGACCGTGACATTTTCCACTATTTAATATTGTTCTGAATAGTTAATGAAGAAAATCAAATTGGTTGAATAATTAGACAAATACCAAATTCCCATAAATGAAAAGTTAGGTAGCTAACGGTCAAGTTAGTTGTTCACAAATCCCGCCACTTCACCACTCCTAACTTCCATTCCATAACACAAACAAAAACCACTTTAAATACCATACCTTCAAACCATCACTTTTCCCACTTTCACTTCTCAAAAATAAAACAAAATAAATAAATAAATCAAAAATAATGACTTTCCACTCGCACGTGGCTATACTCGCGTTCCCTTTCGGGACACACGCGGCCCCACTCTTCGCCCTTGTGCGGAGGCTGGCGGCTTCCGCACGCGGTACCCTCTTCTCTTTTTTCAACAGCCCGGTCTCGAATGCTGGGCTCTTCAACGGGCCAGGCGAGCAAGAAAATATACACGTGCACGACGTGTGGGATGGGACACCGAAAAACGGGGTTTTCACGGGCAGTCATTTCGAGGCGGTAGGTTTGTTCCTCAAGGCGTCGCCTGGGAATTTCGAGAAGGAGATAGAGAAGGCGGAGAGTGAGAGCGGTTTGAAAATCGGGTGCTTGATAACGGACGCGTTTTTGTGGTTCGGCGGCGATATGGCGGAGGGAAGAGGTGTCCCATGGTTGGCCTTCTGGACGGCTGCCTCGTGCTCGTTGTCCGCGCACGTCTACACGGACGAGATTGTGAAGGTAGTGGGATCGGCAGGTACGAATATGAACGTAATCGAGTCTTTCGAGCATCTTAATTACGACTTAACTAGGGTTTCTTCATGGTAGTTATTAAGGTGTAATTTCAATGTCACTACCTGACATTCAAGTATCTTAATTTCAGTACATTAAAATTAGGAGTGTTGAACAATTAGGATACTGAAATTGAGATGGTGTGAAATTTACACTTAGGTACTAAATTCGCAGGTTACCTTTTTATTTCTAACTGTGGAACAATACCTGGAAAAAGATATAAAGACTAATGTTTTTTTTTATTTTTTATTTTATTTTATTTTATTTTTTTGACTAGTAAAGTGCACGTGCGATGCACGTGATACCTAATTTATATTGTAACGTGTTTTAAAAATATTATATTTTATGTCATATGTTTTATGGTCGGTTTAAGTTTTTGCATTATTATTTTCAATGAATCAAACAAAAGAGTACGTTACATGATGAATTGTATCAAGTTTATTGAAATTTGAGAAACAAATTTAAAGTTGCATGACAAATTTGGTTGACAAACTTTCATTATCTAAGTTAGTCTTGTTTAGAGTTGGTCAGAAGTCGGTCTTGTTTGGTAAGACCGGGCAGAACTGAAACGAATTTCGTCCCCGCAAAGAGAAGAAGTTTCTTCCGAAACTCACTACCCAGTAATAGAACCCCCAGAAAGAGTACCGAGGAATGTCATGTGGTGGGCCTTTCATTATCTAAGTTAGTCTTGCACATGGTCTTTATCGACTTTGAGAAGGCCTATGATAGAGTACCGATGAATGTCATGTGGTGGGCCTTAGAAAGAACAAAGTCCCATCTAAGTACATTACCCTCATCAAGGATATGTACAAGGATGCGATGAGGTGTGTCCGAACATGTGGGGTACTTCCCAATTAAAATAGAACTACACCAGGGGTCAACATTGAGCCATTATTTATTTGACTTGGTGATGGATGAGGCCACAAGGGACATACAAGGTGATATCCCTTTGTGTATGCTCTTTGCTGATGATGTGGTGCTAGTTGACGAGAGTATGACAGAGATAAATAAGAAGTTAGAGTTGTGGAAGGACACGTTAGAGTCGATAGACTTCAGACTTAGTAGGACGAAGACCGAGTACATGACGTGCGCTTTCAGCATGACTACACATGATGATGGTGACGTTAGTCTTGACGGGCAAGTGGTGGCCAAGAAGGAGACTTTTCGGTATTTAGGATCAATGTTATAAAAGGATGGTGGCATTGATGAAGACGTTAGGCATAAAATTGTAGCTGGTTGGTTGAAACGGCGTCAAGCTTCGGGCGTTCTCTGTGATAAGGGGTGCCACAAAGGCTAAAAAGTAAGTTCTATAGACGGCGATTCGCCCGGTGAAGCTATACAGTGCTGAATGTTGGCCTACAAAAAGGCAACATGTCAAACAACTAAGTGTAGCAGAGATGCGTATGTCGTATGTTGCGTTGGTTTTGCGGACACACAAGAAGGGATAGCACCCGGAATGAGGAGATTCAAGATATGGTCGGGGTGGCTCCAATTGAGG